CAGCCCTAGCAGTCAGACAAACCCTGTCACAGCTGGAGATCAAACCCAGATCTACTGCCCTAGCAGTCAGACAAACCCTGTCACAGGTGGAGATCAAACCCAGATCCACTGCCGTAGCATTGCAGGTGCCAGAAACACCTTAAGACCCAAGTTTTAGTTTATCACTTGTAGAGACAAGTGAATAACATAGTATTCAGTATTATTTAGGACTTGTGTTTGAGTTTTTCCATACATTTGAATGATCACAAACTACTTCTGTCAATAAGCAACATGTGGAGAAATAATTTGCAATCCAGTGCACGGTGGCACTGGCTGATTTCATGCCATGTAGGTGTAAAGTGTATTTAATGTCGTCGATCCATGCCTTTTTGCTGTCCTTTTGCTTTGTAGCTGATCTTCTGAGATGTAGTACCTGTGATGGTATTGATGTTGCTGCATTCTAATGAGATGGCCAAACCACTTGATCTGCTGTTTCTCAAAAAATCTAGTATGACGTGTTGTTCCCATAGTCTGTCTGATACTATGATTATTCACCCATTCTTATATGGTTCGCTTGGCGGCTTTTCTCAGGCATCTCATCTTGCAAGTGCTGATTTTGTCTATAAAGTCTTTAGATAATACCCATGTTTGGCACTGGTAGCTCAGTGTTGGTGTGAATATACTGTTTATAATGTGTGTTTTCTGCACACATAGTATCTTTAATGTAAACAACAAAATATCAATAAAGTAATAATGTGAAATGTAACATCTGTTAATAATTTTTTAATATATAATTCATTCTTTGAAAATGTGTATGTGCAGTTTGTTTGCCAGTGAAGTGCTGAATCGAACCTTTGGTGCTTTCTTAATATCCTTCCCTAAACAGGGGGAATCCACAGGTCACAGGATAGTCTAATATTTCAGGGGGTGGTAGATAGGCTGCCATGCAGTCTTGAAACCTAGGCTGCACTCTCTTATGGGACGTAGGTGGGTTGGGGTTAGGGCCAGTTCTAGATGTTTTAGGTTCGTTAAAAGCACCAGAAAGCCGGGAAACCCAGTCTTACCACCCTCAAAAATGTTGAACTGCCCTGTGACCTCATCTGGGGTAGGATATTTAGAAAGAACCAACACTTTTTGTTTCTATTTCACAACGATCGCATAGATGCTTGGAGTCCACAACGGTCCCATAGATGCTTGGAGTCCACAACGGTCCCATAGATGATAGGAGTCCACAACGGTCCCATAGATGCTTGGAGTCCACAACAGTCCCATAGATGCTTGGAGACCACAACGGTCCCATAGATGCTTGAAGTCCACAACGGTCTCATAGATGCTTGGAGTCCACAACGGTCCCATAGATGCCTTGAGTCCACAACGGTCCCATAGATGCTTGGAGTCCACAACGGTCCTATAGATGCCTTGAGTCCACAACGGTCCCATAGATGCCTTGAGTCCACAACGATCGCATAGATGCTTGGAGTCCACAACGGTCCCATAGATGCTTGGAGTCCACAACGATCGCATAGATGCTTGGAGTCCACAACGGTCCCATAGATGCTTGGAGTCCACAACAGTCCTATAGATGCCTTGAGTCCACAACGATCGCATAGATGCTTGGAGTCCACAACGGTCCCATAGATGCTTGGAGTCCACAACGGTCCTATAGATGCCTTGAGTCCACAACGGTCCCATAGATGCTTGGAGTCCACAACGGTCCCATGGATGATAGGAGTCCACAACAGTCCCATAGATGATAGGAGTCCACAACGGTCTCATAGATGCTTGGAGTCCACAACGGTCTCATAGATGCTTGGAGTCCACAACGGTCCCATAGATGCTTGGAGTCCACAACAGTCCCATAGATGCTTGGAGTCCACAACGGTCCCATAGATGATAGGAGTCCACAACGGTCCCATAGATGCTTGGAGTCCACAACGGTCCCATAGATGCTTGGAGTCCACAACGGTCCCATAGATGATAGGAGTCCACAACGGTCCCATAGATGCTTGGAGTCCACAACGGTCCCATAGATGCTTGGAGTCCACAACGGTCCCCATAATGATAGGAGTCCACAACGGTCCCATAGATGCTTGGAGTCCACAACGGTCCCATAGATGCTTGGAGTCCACAACGGTCCCATAGATGATAGGAGTCCACAACGGTCCCATAGATGCTTGGAGTCCACAACGGTCCCATAGATGCTTGGAGTCCACAACAGTCACATAGATGCTTGGAGTCCACAACGGTCTCATAGATGCTTGGAGTCCACAACGGTCCCATAGATGCTTGGAGTCCACAACGGTCCCATAGATGCTTGGAGTCCACAACGGTCTCATAGATGCTTGGAGTCAACAACAGTCCCATAGATTCTTGGAGTCCACAACGGTCTCATAGATGCTTGGAGTCCACAACGGTCTCATAGATGCTTGGAGTCAACAACAGTCTCATAGATGCTTGGAGTCCACAACGGTCTCATAGATGCTTGGAGTCCACAACGGTCTCATAGATGCTTGGAGTCAACAACGGTCCCATAGATTCTTGGAGTCCACAACAGTCCCATAGATGCTTGGAATCCACAACGGTCCCATAGATGCTTGGAGTCCACAATGGTCTCAAGAGTATCCCGAGGAATCATTCATCCTTCCTAAAGCAGAAATAGTCAGCTATGCAGGTTCAGTTGGCAGGGGGTGATTTGTTGACCATCTTCAACCAAGGACATCCCAGAGGTGATCATTCAGAGAAAGGTCCGGTGAATGAGCTAGCCACGCCATCACTTTCTTTTCTTCGCTGTGTGTGCTGATCAGTGGTGTTTTTTTTAATATAAATAGCTCTGGTGGATATTTAGATTTTCCATTATTTATTCTGCTGAAACACAACAAAAACGGAAAAGATTGTGTTCAGTTCTGCAGACCAGAGTGTCATAAAGAATTCTGTTATGTACTTTGCTTTTTTTTTCTTTTTTGCTACATATTATGTCTGTTAGTTGTGAATACATGATCAAAGTATTTTAACTTTCAAACCCAGTTAGTTATTTTTTCACCCTTTGCTAAAACATTTCATTTGAAGGTGAAGGTGAAGCACGTCAATGCCATCTTCAAGGCCGAGATAGGAGACACTATAACTAGTTTCTCATGGGAACAATTAGTAGAAGAGTAATTTGGAGTGGCTGCTGAATCGGAGGACTGAGCATGCCCAATGTGCAGTGACGTTGATTCTGATAACAACATTTCATTTCATTTGCTGTTAAGCTGTTGCAATTTGCTTTTTTGCCAATGTCTGGGTCCGACAGTGATATGATTCTGTAGGGTAGAAACATAAATACTACTGAGCCATCAGTGTTCTTGTTTCTGATATCACCTTTTAACACCGGAAATACATATAAAAGATCCTTGTAACCTTGTATGAAAGATCCTTGTAACACTGGGAACACGTATGAAAGATCCTTATAACACGTATGAAAGATCCTTGTAACACTGGGAACACGTATGAAAGATCCTTGTAACCCTGGGAACACGTATAAAAGATCCTTGTAACACTGGGAACACATATGAAAGGCCCTTGTAACACGTATGAAAGATCCTTGTAACACTGGGAATACGTATAAAAGATCTTTGTAACACTGGGAACATGTATGAAAGATCCTTGTAACACTGGGAACACGTATGAAAGATCCTTGTAACACTGGGAACACATATGAAAGATCCTTGTAATGCTGGGAACACATATGAAAGATCCTTGTAACACCCGGAACACGTATGAAAGATTCTTGTAACACCCAGAACACACATGAAAGATCCTTGTAACACCCAGAACACACATGAAAGATCCCTTTAACACCCGGAACACGTATCCTTGAAAGAAAACACATGAAAGATCAAGGTCTCTATGCACGCATGACATTGTTGACACTTGCACACGCCTTTAGGCATATTGGGCATATAGTCTAGCAGTCAAGGTCTCTTTGCACGCCATTGGCACATTGGGCAGAATTCAAGCTCTCTTTACATGCCATTGGTTCATTGGACATATAGTCAAGCAGATGTCAGGATCTCTTTACATGCCATTGGTACATTGGGCAAATAGATCTCTTTAAGCATTGGTTCATTGGAAGTCAGATGTCAGGATCTCTTTGCCATTGGTACATTGCCATAGGCATTGGTTTATTGGACAATAGGCAGATCAGGTATTGGTAGTCAAGCAGAAGTCAAGCATGCCATGTCATGTAGTCAAGCAGAATCAGTGTCTCTTCAAATGCCATAGGCACAATTGGCATGTAGTCAAGCACATGTCAGGATCTCTTTACACATTGGGCATATAGTCAAGCAGAAGTCAAGATCTCTTTAAATGCCATAGGCACATTGAGCATGTAGTCAAGCAGAAGTCAGTGTCTCTTCACATGCCATAGGCACAATTGGCATGTAGTCAAGCACATGTCAGGATCTCTTTACATGCCATTGGCACATTGGGCATGTAGTCAAGCAGAAGTCAGTCTCTTTACACACCATTGGCATGTAGTCAAGCAGAAGTCAATGTCTCTTCACATGCCATAGGCACATTGGGCATGTAGTCAAGCAGAAGTCAGTGTCTCTTCACATGCCATAGGCACATTGGGCATATAGTCAAGCACATGTCAGGATCTCTTTACATGCCATTGACACATTAGGCATATAGTCGAGCAGAAGTCAAGGTCTCTTTACACGCCATTGGCACATTGGGCATTTGAGGTTAGACTCATATTTTTATTGACCAGTCAGCCTTGTGAGGTGATGTGGGCATGCCTGTCGCCTTTACTTCCCGGGACTTACCTCAAGGGCACTGTCTCAAGGCTGGCTTGACCAGGGAGCTAAGGTCATGTGTGCAACAAAAACAAAAAATCTGGCTCTGAATGGTTTGAACACACGACCTTCGGTCTGCATCCCAATAGCTCTCAACCTTCCTAATGCCCTTTAATACAGTTCCTTATTATGTGGTGACCCCCAAACAAAAAACATTTTCATTGCTACTTCATAACTTCAGTGAACGTGTGTTTTCCTATGGTTTGGGGACCCCTGTGAAAGGGTCGCTCGACCCAAAAAAGGGTTGTGCCTTACAGGTTGAGAACCACTGGTCTGGCCACTAGATCACAGCATCTCCCATTAGTCATATGATGCTAGACGTACATTTTTTAGGCTGGCATTCTGGTACCAATGTGTGAAACACTTCTGTACCAATGTGTGAAACAATTCTGTACCAATGTGTGAAACAATTCTGTACCAATGTGTGAAACAATTCTGTACCAATGTGTGAAACAATTCTGTACCAACTGTTACTGTTGTTTTTCACAATAAGGCGGTGTTTCCAGTTACCTGTTTTTGATTTTATGTGGGTTTTCACCGTTGATTCTTGTATTTAAACATTTTTAGCATTTCTAAAAAAAAGTCATAAAAATTGAAAGAAATTAACTCTTTAAAGACGTATTGCCAGTAAACTGGTGAATAAATGTATCCCTAATGGACATGTCGTAAGTATATTGGCGTATGATGGAGACAATCAGCGGTTTTGAGACCTTATTACGGAAAATAAAACACAACACTTGGGGAAATTACCAAGAAAAACAAAAAATCTAGATATGAACAAAAATTTAAAAAGCAAAACAGAATATATTGGTGCAATATATGAATATGTATTTAGCATAGTAATGAGAATCATTAAAGTTATAAAACAAGTTGCCATAATGTTGAATACATCAGTAAGGAAACGAGTCCTCCCATGCATCAATACTTCTGGCAGAGAGTATACTACACAAAGCAATATCACTGAGATCAAACTGGGCAACAATCAAATACCTAATTCGCGTAAAAGGTAAATGAGCAACAAATCTGAAGCATTAGATACAAATGCAATTTATATAATCCACATACTTGTATCAGAACTCTGTTCATATCTTAACATCGTAAACTAGAATGAGACCGGGGGCATTTTCACTTTAATGACACACATTAGAAAAAAGTGGCGGGGGGAAGGAGAGGGTACTAAAGCCAAGGTTGCCATACTCCACCATGCAATTGTGGATCACTAGCAGGGTCAATTGGTTTGATAACAGGGGGGATCATAGTACTTCTGTAAGCATCAATCCGTTGTTGCAGTTTGGCCACAACTGCTGGCAGTGATGAAGCTAGGTTATTATATTCACAGGGGTCCGTCTTTCAGATTGAACAGACAGGCTGCTTTTTCAGGGTGACAGTTGTCACTTGCTAACTGTGGCTTGTGACCACACTTCACCAATGTCTTGTCAGCCAGTCTCAGGTCACACCCTTGAAAGTTTTTACTTATATCAGAAAGGTAAACACTCTCAGAGACTTCTGGGGCAGGGTACCAACCATCGTATTTACCCCCGGATGGGTCACCCGAAATGATTTTATAATCTCCTAAAATTAAAGCTTCAGTCTTGTCAATTGGGTCAATGTTGAGCAGGACTTCTTGTCGAGTTGTTGGTGCATTCTCCAACAAAACATCTCTCTGGTCTATTCCATCGATGTCTCCTATGTCTGTCAAGCTTCCCCCAGCCAGGCTGTAAAGCGTTGGTAGCCAGTCGACCACATGCATCAAGTTGGAGTTGACATAACCTTGTTTCTGCAGCAAGGGACTGTTGACAAAACCCACTGCTCGCACACCGCCTTGCCACAAGGCTCGTTTGCTTCCTCTGAAACACATTTATTTATTCAAGTAAACAACTTTATGTCATGCCATGAGGCATTCTGGGTAAAATGTTGGCTCCATTTGTTTATAGTCTTATTCTATTTGTGATGTCTCGAATACCACTTTTACTTCCCAAGAAATACTGTGGTATTCATTTTTACAGCTCTACTGATCTAGATATAATAATTTTTTTTTAAGAACATGTGTATATTAAAAATATCTAAGCTGTCAGTCTTCTTTTTTTTTTTTTTGCGTTCACCAGCTGTAAACTCTGGCGGAAAGTTCTGGTTGTTCATCCACTTCTGGACAGCAGTCCATTTCCAGAACCTGGTGTTGCGTGTGCATCCATTTTGCAGATCTGACTCATTTGTGTGCAGACTGCTGGTTCCTTGCCTCTCAGGCAGATGCACTCTGACTTTAAAGGAAGCTCCCAATGAGTCAACTCTAAAGACTGGCTTTTGGGTAGGCAGAGGGTCTACTCTTGTTTTCCCTATAACAGAGCCCTGGAACCCACACGGGGAAAGGGGAGACTGTTCAGTGATATCCAATATAAATATGACAGTCATACAGAGAAGATTTGGGACACTCAACAGCTGCTATAAGAATTAGATGGAAGAGTGAATAATATCCTCTTGTATCTGCCACTGCCAGCACCTTCAGAGCAGGAAGTCCCTGCCATAGTTTGTTCAACATCTCATGAACACACTTGCAGACCATTTGCTCGAAAATTGCCTATTAAATCGCAATACAATTTTTCAAGCAGCCTTATAGTATCCATGACGCAAAAAAAAGTGGTATTTTTCAGTCCATAGATGCCCAGGAATGCTGAATACCAGCCAGTTCCTTTGATCTTTTGGAACCATTGTAAATAAGTGGAGGGAACTTTAAGATTTTACAGTAAACATCTGAATTTCCAGTTCTGTTTTTTTGTCCAGGCGTTTCTTCATAATATGTTGATAGGTGAAGTAAATTTATATGTTACAATTTATGTTCAACTGAGTTGAATTGAGCTGAGTTAAGAAAGACATCATAGCATTCTAGGCATTCCCATATGCGATCCATCCCTGTCTTCAGCAGCCAGTGCAGAGTTCCAATACTAATGGTACTAGACGCAGTCTGATTATATGCCCATCTTCCCATTCCTCTGAGTGTAGTTTGCCGGCCAGACCCTCTATTCCCACACAGGTGTATCATTCTCTCTAGGTTATGATAATCTATTTTCTCTTCTGACTTCATTACTTGTTCCCAAAGGGCCTTGACCACATCTGTCTTGTCAAGAATCAATTCACCAGTCGTGCAGATCCAGCCATTCTGTCTGCCTTTTTCAGTTGTGAAAATGTCTCAAATATGCAACAGTTAGTATTCCTTTTCAGTCACCATTGGACCCCACAATATATCTTAACTGCACAGCAAATTGTATTATGGTTGACACATTTGATATAGAGATATATTTGTTGCAATTGTGAGATGTACCTAACGGGTTGAAGATATTCAACCACTCATCAAAAAATGGTTTTGATCATTCTGACGAACCCAAAAAAGTTTATAAATCTTACCGTATTCATGAATGATTTTGCCAGTGTTGAAACACCTATGTCTTATTTGTCTTCCTCACAAGCTGCAACAACTCGGCCTTCAAATATGTGTTGTCAAAATTGACTTTGTCGTTAGCAAGCCATGTCCTTATTTGATCTTCTGTATTTGAAGTCGTTGGTACTTTGTCTTCCTCTCATACGGCATTATGATAGGCGGCGTTATCCATTACTAGGCATAATGGTCTGTCCAGAATTGGAAGAAAATTATTGTTCATCCGGTGCCTGAAAATGAGTCGATTAATTTCATTGTTGTAGTCCCTACCATCCGTACTTTTGAATTGGAAAATAAGTTCAGTATCATGAATGAGGCCTTTTTCACTGCTTCCTGTATAAAGAGTATAATGCGCTGGCCCCTGCTGTTTGGAATGTTCCTTTACTTTTAACTGTTTACTGATTGCCATTCTGTATTGTTGGTCTGGTGAGCATTAACCCATGATTCACCAAAATATACAATATCATACTCTTGCATACGTCGCTCACAGATCTGCCTCAAGTATTTGCTTCAAATAGCAATCAAATGTGGCTTTTCACAAATAATATTCCTTCTCCCGACAGTTTTAATGAAAGTGAACTCGGTGGCGCTTACAATTTTCCACAGACTCCTTTTTGAAATGTCAGTACTGCATTGTGATTTCAAAGTCTAATAACATTTTCATGCTCTATCCAGACCAAGCGCCAATCGTGCTTGTTTCTTTGGGCCATAAATATCACCTGTATATAAATTAGGGCTGTACCGAATATTCGCTTCGAATAGTGGACCTAATAACTATTCGGTATTCGGCTGAATAGTTGCGGTCGGGCCGAATACGAATAGCGGTTACCTTACTCTGCATACACTCTGTTTCTGCATACACTATGATGGATTGAAATAATTCTCTCATTAACACAATACTTTCTGTTGCCTTAGTCTGTCGTAGCGGGGGAAACTGCGACCCGGTTACGTGGTACAAACTGCATAAAATGCCAACCGCAGTGTGTGTGTGTGCGCGCGCACGTGTGTGAGTGTGTATGTATGTGTGAGATAGAGAGGGAGAAGGAGAGAGATCATGCATTTTTTGTTTTTTCAGGGTGTCTTCGCCCAAAATATTGCTTACGAGAATATCTTCTTCTTCGTGTTCACCAGCTGTACACTCTGGCATAAAGTTCTGGCTGTTCGTCCACTTCTGGACTGCAGTGATGCTCCAGAACCTGAGTGTTGTGTGTGCATGAGTTTTACATATCTAATTTTAAATTACATCGAACGAACGGTTGAACGAACGATGGTTTTGAAAGAGGCGGGAGCCCGAAGACAACTAATCACAGACATCAGAAGGAGACAGTCGTCATTTTTCAGCCATGTTATGAGAAGAGGAAAAATGGAACATTCTGTGACCGCTGGAAAGATATGTGGAAAGAGGGATAGAGGAAGACAACGATAGAAGATTCTTGACAGTCTTGTTGCAAGGCATGGAGGTGCGTCAGCACACGAACTGATACATGCTGCAGGAGATAGCAGATTGTGGAGAGGCATGATCGCACACGCCAGTCGGCAAGTCACTTGATGATGATGATACACTATTCGTATTCTGCCGAATAATTGGTGCCACTATTCGTATTCAGCCGAATAGTGAAAATCACTATTCGGTACAGCCCTAATATAAATGACCCATGACCCTGACATAGTGCTGGTACCCTGAAATGGTCACTTTCTGCATAGTTATAAATTTGCATCTCAAATTCAATTTGAAATTGATGTCTGTGTCAGCTTTTATAAGCTTGCTATGTGACACAATAACAACACTAATTTATGGATGCACCTTTACTGATGTCTTTTTGTGTGTGTCAAGTCACTAAGAGTGCGACTTTGCACGAGAAAATCATGAAATTGCGTAGTTATCTTTGACAACTGTCCATGTTGTGATCACAGATGATGTGACAATATTGTGGAACTCAATGAACAATACAAACTGTCTGTGTTGTGATCCCAGATGAAGTGACAATATTGTGGAACTCAATGAACAATACAACTGTCCGTCTTGTGATTACACGATAACTATAACCATTGCAGTGAAATCTTCCAGTGCTTACAATGGAAGTACTTATTAAGGACACCAGAATTTTGTGAGTGTGATACGCTAATGACAAGAACAGTGAAAACGATTGCATATAATCACCATCAATCAGCAAGTCCTTCACAGAACGTCGCTCTCTTCACGGCACACCTGAAAGTACCTCTTTCCCCCTAGCCAGCTCTCCAGCCCCATGTACTTTCAATGCCAATACATCTTCAATGTCCTTTCTTCTCTTCACGGCACCCTCTTTCCCCCTAGCCAGCTCTCCAGCCCCATGTACTTTCAATGCCAATACATCTTCAATGCCCTCTATCAGTTTTAGCGGAGGTCGACCCCTGCCTCGTTTTCCACAAACTGTACCCTCCATCACCGACTTTTCCAAGCCGCCATGACCTTTGATGTGGCCAAAATACTTCAACTGTGTAACTCGTATAGAATGTCGATGTTTTTCCTCTCCTTGATGTGTAACTCGTATAGAATGTCGATGATTTTCCTCTTCTTGATATTCTGAGACTTTTTCTAAAACATTTTAATTAAAATCTTCCAATTTTTTATCCTCAGTGACTGAGCGATAGTCTAGGACTCACAACCGTAAGTTGAGACATGAAAAATGCATGATCTTAAGATTTTTACTGTAACTTATTTACAGGTGCTTTGCAAAAATAGTTTCTTTATGCTGTTTAATCTCTACATTGCTAATGCAATGTCTTCGACTGTTGTTCACTAAAGAGCCCAAGTATTGAAAATCTCTGACATTTTCTATTTCTGATTATTCAATTGCAATGTGTAATTGGTGCGATTTATTTACTGAGGACATTATTTTTTTTTTTCAAATTTAGAAAAAGATTCACTTCTTTACTGTGCATTTTGATGGCTAAAATTAGTTTTTATAAACCTATTTGAAAAAGGAACTGTGTCGTCTGCATATCTGAGTTCTGGGATAAGGTTAACCTCAATTTTTCGTGGATCAAATCTTTCACAGGCCTTATAGCTAATTACGTTTATCATAATAATTACAGCATATATGTTAATAAGGGATGGAGAAAGAATGCAACCCTGCCTCACTCCTTTCTGTACTTCAAGCCATTCTGATGTTTAACCAGCTACTCTGCCTGCTGCTTGTTGTTCATGGTAAAGAAATTCCATTGAGTACCAGATGGTTTGGAAATCCCGTGCCTCTCATTATATACTACAGTTTATGATGTTGCACACAGTCAAGTGCCTCGCTTAAGTCTGTGAAACAAGCATGAAGATCAATGGTGTATTCTCTACACTTCTCTAGGATGATTCTCACATTGAAAATATGGTCTCTTGTTCCTCCGCCCGTCTAAAACCCGCTTGTGCTTCCTGTAATTCATATTCCAATTTATTCTCGATTCTCCTCAAGATGATCTGCAGAAGGATTTCGCTGGAATGATTAAAGATCTGAGATTTCCTTTTTTTTCCGGAAAGAGAATATAAACTGATCTTTTTCACGCTTTGGGCCAGTCAGCCCTGTTCCAGAGTTTCACACAAAGTACATGGTATAGAATGACTCTGGCTTCTCTTCCAGCCTGGATTAACTCTGCTGGTATGTTGTTCAGTTCCGGATATTTACCTTTTTTTTTCAGCATATAATGCTCAAAGACAAACATGACTGTACTGGTGGCAAGCAACAATAAAGCAGAAAATTATATTTGACACTGTGGATAATTGTTTTCTGAAAACAGACATTTGCAATCTGTCAGTTTTTTTTACAAGCATATTTATCAAAGGTATCCTACTCTGTACAACAGTTTGAAAGAAAATATGTTTGAAAATGAAAAAAATGAAATAGTCTACATTGTTAGAATGATTACCTTAAAGGCCAGTTAGAAGAGGCACTGTCCTCCATGCCATTGGCTGGGCCACCATTGTCAGAGCTAAAGATAATAATAGTGTTGTCCAGAAGCCCAGAGTCTGTCAGCGCGCTGTATACAGCTCCCACTGAATCGTCTAAAGCAGCAACAACACCTACAGAAAATAAGGTGAGTGTAATGAGGCCAGCACTTGATAATCATGATCATTATGATGTTAATGATCCTGGTGGATCTTCTGTTAAAGATGACTGCTTGTTTCAACCAGAGCATTAGGACAGCTTCAGTCCCAGAAGAGTGGATGCACAGCTACCTGATTCCACTTCCTAAGCCTGACAAGAATCATTCAACACTCAGCGGCTTTAGGATCATAACCCTACAAAACACCACTGGTAAAGTGCTGGAGAAGATAGTGGCGGGTAAGCTACAAGAATTTGTGGAACCGAGAAAGCTCCTTCCTGGAGGTTTGGGAAGTTACCGACCGGGGAAGGACACATACTCAAATGCAGCCACTTTTGCCTTTGATGTCTTCAAAGGTTTCCAGAAAAGACAGGAAACAGAGACAGCGGCACTTGATTTAGAAGACGCTTACAACAGAGTCAGATACAGTATCTTGATGAAAGCATTTATGGAGAAGGGAGTCTGTCCTTGGTTGGTGAACTGGATAGCTGCTGTTTTGTAAACTCGCCGGGTAGCTCTCTACCTGGGTTCATGGACCTCTGGACCATGTACTTTAGCTCCAGGACTACCACAGGGATCTGCAATTTTACCTGTACTGTTCAATGTTTTTAACAAGCAAGACTGTATACCTGGAAACACCTGGAGTTGGCAGAATATTGACATTTGCAGATGAGGTTCTCGTATATAGGAAGGGGAGATATCTGGATCAAAAAGCTCAAGAGTTACAGGCAACAGTGGATAAGGTGATTGACTGATGTACAGAGATGAGTGCTGTAATCAACCCAGAAAAGGCCACTGTCCTGTGGTGTTTTTTGGACAACAATATTATTAGAGCGGATGTTCTCAGACTCAAAATAAATGGCAGGGACATCAAAAGAGACAACAAACTGCGATACCTGGGTATCACCTTTGACAGAAGTTTGTCTATCAAGGATCACATAGAGGGGGTTGTGACAAAGGCTCAACAAGGTCTTAATGCAGTAAAGATTATGGCAGCGATGGACATGGAGCAGAGAATGCTGTTCACACTTTACCAGCACTTAATCATCTCAATGATTGATTATGGATTGGGGTTACTCACTGTCTCGAAGAGTCAGCTAGAGAAACTGGAGCGCATACAGAATGAAGCTATGCGGCTGATCCTGGGTTGTACAAGAGACACCCCGATTGTGTGCATGCGATACATCTTTGCATTGCCGACTATAGCAGATAGGCTAAAGGTGCTGCAGGCTAAGTCATACTTCAGAGTAGCTGCAGACAGGGAACACCCTCTGTATGAAGCTCTGGATGCAGGTAAGGGTCAGAGGCTGAAAAGGGGGAAATCGTGGGTGGCTCAAGCAGCATACACGATAAGACAAGTATGCAAGCTGGAAAACATTGAGCGAGGAGAGGAGTGGGTCAGAGTACAAGAGCAAAAGTATGATCTGTGTAGGGTTATGATAACATTGGGCTGGGAGTGCACACAATGGACAGCAGATGCTACGGAGGTGGAAGTCCAACAGTTCATTCACGAATATTCACGATTTGATTATCTATACAGATTGTTCGATGATGAGAGGAAAGAGAAGTGCCTGGGGCTTCGTAATGAAAGCCAATGGAAAATCTTTAGTGCAAGACAGCCTAGCATACGACATCACAACATCTAGCATGAGAATAGAGGTGGAGGCGGTAACTGCAGCTCTCCGGGAGCTAGAGAGCAAGATGCATACACATGTCGTCTTTGTAACAGACTCTGAAAATATGCTGAAAAAGGTGAAGACAGGGATGCTTCGAGCAGAGTGGCTAGCTTCACTGATAAGGTCACGGGTAGTGAGCATACTTTGGATCTTTTCTGCAGGATATGCCGGCCTAGTGGGTAATGAACAAGTAGACAGATTGGCTGGATCTGCACCCCTGGGTGGTGAATTGATACATGACAAGGCAGATGTGGTCAAGGCCCGTTGGGAACAAGCAGTGGAATCAGTAGAAAAACAAGATTATTATGGTCTAAAGAGAATGAGGCACCTGGGTGTAACCAGAGGATCGGGCCTGCTTACCAAACTCAGAGGAAAGGCAAGACGGACATATAACCAGATTGTGACCGGTACCATCAGAACTGGAACTCTGCGCTGGCTGCTGAAGATGAGGACGAAGAACGCATGGGAATACCATGAGGGCTGTGGTGTAAATTCTTGACTCTACTCAACCTAGCTATGATGTAACTGATGATGATGAGACTCATTCATGTCTAGTGGTTTCCAACGCGCTTATGATCCATATTTTGTTTAGTTTTTTAAAGCTGTTTTTGCTTTGTCAATGTGTATAATAATGTTTTCGCTTTTTTTTTTTTTTTTTTACAAACAAAACTTGTGTCTAAATATGTCAACAGATTTACTACTTTATTTCTCCTTCTATCCAGTGTAAATTTTCCTTAATCTGTTATTGATGTCTTCAACATATTATTTAAACATAATACAAAGAAAAAAAAAAGTATTAATCAAGAAATAAATGGCTGGGAAACTAAAGACACATCATTGAAAAAACAAATTAACATGCACTGATTGGTACTCAAAGAATGAATGAGTGGACCCAGAATTGACATCACAGCACTCCGGAGATTGTCATGCGTGCTCCGTCTCCCCCTCCTCCCCCTCTTCAGTAACCAGTGAAGAGCTGAGATGCTAGTAGTACCAGCTACAACCTGATTAAAAGTCCACCTCCGTTTCCCCTTCAATATTGAAAATCTTCAAGAACCTCTATGCACCCCCCAGAACTTCTATGCACCCCTCCCCAGGAACCTCTATGCATCTCCCAGAACCTCTATGCACCCCCCCCCCCCAGAACCTCTATGCCCCCCCCCCGGAACCTCTATGCACACCCCCCCCCCCCGGAACCTCTATGCACCCCCCGACTCTATACAGCCCCCAGAACCTCTATGCACCCCTAGAACCTCTATGCAGCCCCCAGAACCTTTATGCAGCCCCCAGAACCTCTATGCACCCCCCAGGACCTCTATGCACCCCTAGAACCTCTATGCACCCCCAGAACCTCTATGCACCCCCAGAACCTCTATGCACCCCTAGAACCTCTATGCACCCCTAGAACCTCTATGCACCCCTAGAACCTCTATGCACCCCTAGAACCTCTATGCACCCCCAGAACCTCTATGCACCCCCAGAACCTCTATGCACCCCTAGAACCTCTATGCACCCCCCCCCCCCAGAACCTCTGTGCACCCCCAGAACTTTATGCACCCCCCAGAACCTCTATGCACCCCCAAAACCTCTATGCACCCCGTTAAATGAGTTGTTCAGTGTATGGATTCCTTGTCTGTTCTTTTGCACTGTTCATTTTATCCCATAGACTAGAGCCTTCACTAAATCCGTTTTAACATAGCTCACCGCCCAGAGGAGCAGCATAAGCTAAGCCTGATCTGGATCATGCAGGCCACTCTGCGAGCAGGACACTAGTTTTAATTTTCGGAAGCACACTCTGTGAGTCTGTACGATTACATGTCGGGCTAGGTTGTTTTGAAGCCATCGGAAAGCTGCCGTAACTGTTAACTCCTCCATTCTCATAGCAGATGTAGTGACGTTGTACGGTTCTACTCGAGGCTGTTTTCAGGCAGTGTCCAGTAAAACCCCACCCATTCTTCCTACTTCTTGCTAAGAGTGACTGAGCTCACATAAAGAAGTAGAGAGACAAAGGGACACACTAAACAACAGAAAATCGAGGGCTATAGTTATCATACCAGAACTCAAACTTGTCGCATTTAAATAACGACGACGACTCTGTGTCGTCAGCTGAAGGTCGGGTTCGTCTAATATTGTGCAGGAGGAGCGACTGGCCGAGTGCTCAGAGTGTTTGGCTCTCAGCCAGAAGACCGTTGTTCGATCTTCGCTAAATACTTATCCCAACCTATACATCGGCAATTAATAAAAAAAAAATTTGAAATTGAAAGAGTTAATGAGTCTACTACTGGTAAACTCAGCATGCGTGTCTCAGTTTGACCCACCTGCAAACTTTCTCCGTTGTAGATCTTGAATGTATGGAAACCTGTCCACATATTTCTGTGGAGCTTGAATAGGATCATTCTCATTGCCAGCATGGACTGCTTGATGGGCCAGATACAGAAATAAAGGCTGTGGAAGAGAAATATCTCTTTACACACACACACACACACACACACACACACACACACACACACACACATATATATATTTAAACAGACACACTCACAAACACACACAAACACACACACACATATATATATATATATATATATATATATATATATATATATATATATATATATATATATAGAGAGAGAGAGAGAGAGAGAGAGAAAGGGTGGGAGGAGAAAGAATGAGAGACGAACATTCACAATATATACCACGAAATACTGGATCAGGCAATTCTGTGGCAGATAATAACACGGGCATACAGAGTTAGGACTTCAAGTATACCCCTCCATCGCCCCCACCACCCCTTTTTTTTAATCCAAAAGACAAACTGAGAACCAAAGAGTACACAAGGTACACCAACGGATGAGACTGCCCACTCTAGAGCCGTGCAGGTCAGTCTTATATTGCTGGGGATCGAACTCACAGTCACGGTGCTGTTGAATCACATGACTAGATGAATGATATAAACAACACATACTGTAACAGTCTGTTCCGCTGCTGAGCGTGAAAAAAGATGGCGGTTCAGAAAAGGTCATATTCCATCTGGTGGCATCTCATAGAAACCAAATGTACAGTTTATAAAGCTTGCCTGCTTAGCAGGTTTCTCTACGGCAGTGAAACCTGCCACGGTATGCTTCTCTACGGCAGTGAAACCTGCCACGGTATGCTTCTCTACGGCAGTGAAAACTGCCACGTTATGCTTCTCTACGGCAGTGAAACCTGCCACGGTATGCTTCTCTACGGCAGTGAAACCTGCCACGGTATGCTTCTCTACGGCAGTGAAACCTGCCACGGTATGCTTCTCTACGGCAGTGAAACCTGCCACGGTATGCTTCTCTACGGCAGTGAAACCTGCCACGGTATGCTTCTCTACGGCAGTGAAACCTGCCACGGTATGCTTCTCTACGGCAGTGAAACCTGCCACGTTATGCTTCTCTACGGCAGTGAAACCTGACACGGTATGCTTCTCTACGGCAGTGAAACCTGCCACGGTATGCTTCTCTACGGCAGTGAAACCTGCCACGGTATGCTTCTCTACGGCAGTGAAACCTGCCACGGTATGCTTCTCTACGGCAGTGAAACCTGCCACGGTATGCTTCTCTACGGCAGTGAAACCTGACACGGTATGCTTCTCTACGGCAGTGAAACCTGCCACGGTATGCTTCTCTACGGCAGTGAAACCTGCCACGGTATGCTTCTTTACGGTAATGAAACCTGCCACGGTATGCTTCTTTACGGCAGTGAAACCTGACACGGTATGCTTCTTTACGGCAGTGAAACCTGACACGGTATGCTTCTTTACGGCAGTGAAACCTGACACGGTATGCTTCTTTACGGCAGTGAAACCTGACACGGTATGCTTCTCTACGGCAGTGAAACCTGCCACGGTATGCTTCTCTACGGCAGTGAAACCTGCCACGGTATGCTTCTCTACGGCAGTGAAACCTGACACGGTATGCTTCTTTACGGCAGTGAAACCTGACACGGTATGCTTCTCTACGGCAGTGAAACCTGACACGGTATGCTTCTTTACGGCAGTGAAACCTGACACGGTATGCTTCTCCAGAAAACAAAACACAAAAAACTCTGAGCGCTTTCCATATGCTCTGTCTGTGAGACACTCTGGGGAAATCCTCGCCAGACTGTCTCTGAGACACATTTTGGGGAAATCCTGGCGAGACTGGCTCTGAGACACATTCTGGGGAAATCCTGGCCAGACTGTCTCTGAGACACATTCTGGGAAATTCCTGGCCAGACTGTCTCTGAGACACATTCTGGGGAAATCCTGGCCAGACTGGCTCTGAGACACATTCTGGGGAAATCCTGGCCAGACTGGCTCTGAGACACATTCTGGGGAAATCCTGGCCAGACTGTCACCGGTGAATATCTACTAAAAAGAACAGGAATACCAACAATGTTCTTTCTCCTGCAGCAAACACGCCTGCGTTTGTTTGGACATGTCTCCCGAATGGAGAACAGTCGCACTTCAAAGGATCTCCTTCCTATACGGTGACCTGGATACAGGGAAAGGATCTCCTTCCTATACGGTGACCTGGATACAGGGAAAGGATCTCCTTCCTATACGGTGACCTGGATACAGGGAAAGGATCTGCAGGAAGGCCAAGGCTACGCTACAAGGACAGTTGTAGACGTGAACTCACAAAACACCAATATTAAATCAGACACGTGTGAGAGATCGGCTGAAGACCGACCCCCTATGGAATGGAGGCTTGGAGCTACCCTGGAAACATCTTTGCACTGTCACCACTCACGATCTCTCTGTCAGTCCTGTATGAAAGATTTGTCTGTCTGTCAGTCGTCTACGAAAGATGTGTCGGTCTGTCAGTCCTGCATGAAAGATGTGTCCGTCTGTAAGTCCTGTATGAAAGATGTGTCCGTCTGTAAGTCCTGTATGAAAGATGTGTCCGTCTGTCAGTCCTGTGTGAAAGATGTGTCCGTCTGTCAGTCCTGTATGAAAGATGTGTCCGTCTGTAAGTCCTGTATGAAAGATTTGTATGTCTGTCAGTCCTGTATTAAAGATGTGTCCGTCTGTCAGTCCTCTACGAAAGATGTGTCCGTCTGTCAGTCCTGTATGAAAGATTTGTCCGTCTGTCAGTGCTGTATGAAAGATTTGTCCGTCTGTCAGTCCTGTATGAAAGATTTGTCCGTCTGTCAGTCCGGTATGAAAGATTTGTCCGTCTGTCAGTCCTGTATTAAAGATGTGTCCGTCTGTCAGTCCGTTATGAAAGATTTGTCTGTCTGTCAGTCCGGTATGAAAGATTTGTCCGTCTGTCAGTCCTGTATGAAAGATTTGTCCGTCTGTCAGTCCTGTATGAAAGATTTGTCCGTCTGACAGTCCTGTATGAAGATTTGTCCGTCTGACAGTCCTGTATGAAAGATTTGTCCGTCTGTCAGTCCTGTATGAAAGATTTGTCCGTCTGTCGGTCCTGTTTGAAAGATTTGTCCGTCTGTCAGTCCTGTATGAATGATTTGTCCGTCTGTCAGTCCGGTATGAAAGATTTGTCCGTCTGTCAGTCCTGTATGATAGAAATGTCCCTGTGTGGTTTATGCGGACAGTCCCGATTTTTCACTGGGTGACCATCCATACAGACGAAGCATTCTACTGCACTAGCTGGAGTTTTATTGACGCCGTCATCTGCAAAAAATTAAATACTTCACTGAAACTGGGCTATGTCAAGCTAACAGGTTTAGGTAACATCTTTTGCATGTGCAGACGGTATCCTCAGACCAGAACCGTTGGTAGACCGTGTCCTCAGACCAGTACCGTTGGTAGACGGTGTCCCCAGACCAGAACCGTTGGTAGACGGTGTCCTCAGACCAGAACCGTTGGTAGACGGTGTCCTCAGACCAGAACCGTTGGTAGACGTGTCCTCAGACCAGTACCGTTGTACTCCAGTTTTTAGGATCAGCATGCATAATCCACATGGTGGTTACGCTATCAAATCTAGCCACTCCAGTTCTCGCGAGAACGACTTTATCCCTCTCATTGGTGGTTACGCTATCAAATCTAGCCACTCCAGTTCTCGCGAGAACGACCTTATCCCTCTCATTGGCACCAATTCACAAAAGGAATTTAAAATTAGCTCTTTTTCTGCGGAATGGCTGGCCGCCCGCCAACAGCATCGTACAAAGAACCGACTCTGTAGCCCAAACGAGGATTACCAGTGATTTCCGAAATAATTGCACTGGGGAACTGAACGGTGCGACCTATGACACGAACCATGGAACTTCACATCAGGAGGCAAACGGTTTGACCATGGAACTTTAGAGCAGTAGGCAAACGGTTTGACCATGGAACTTTAGAGCAGTAGGCAAACGGTTTGACCATGGAACTTGAGAGCAGTAGGCAAACGGTTTGACCATGGAACTTCACATCAGGAGGCAAACGAACTTTAGAGCTGCTGAAGATGAGGACGAAGCGCGCATGGGAATACCATGGGGGCTGTGGTGTAAATTCTTGACTCTACTCAACCTAGCTATGATGTAACTGATGATGATGAGACTCATTCATGTCTAGTGGTTTCCAACGCGCTTATGATCCATATTTTGTTTAATTTTTTAAAGCTGTTTTTGCTTTGTCAATGTGTATAATAATGTCTTCGCTCTTTTTTTTTTTTTTTTTTACAACCAAAACTTGTGTCTAAATATGTCAACAGATTTACTACTTTATTTCTCCTTCTATCCAGTGTAAATTTTCCTTTATCTGTTATTGATGTCTTCAACATATTATTTAAACATAAAACAAAGAAAAAAAAAACAATAATCAAGAAATAAATGGCTGGGAAACTAAAGATACAGCATTTAAAAAAAAAAAAAAATTAACATGCACTGATTGGTACTCAAAGAATGAAAGAGTGGACCCAGAATTGACATCACAGCACTCCGGACATTGTCAACTCGAGGCTCAGAGGAAAGGCAAGACGGACTCTTAATCAGAATGCTACTGGCACCTTTGGTATCGGAACTCTTCGCTGGCTGCTGAAGATGGGGACGAAGCGTTTATGGGAATGCCCCGAGTGATGTGATGTCGGTTTTTGTATCAAATGAAATCAAATAATGAGAAATAATCCAGCTGGTGTAACTACAATAACCAATATATACTAGAGAAAATCTTTAAAGAGTTCCAAGTCATTGACACCAAGTCCCAAGTCAAATCTCATGTCACATAGATTGCTTCCAAGTCAAGTGGCAAGTCATTGACACCAAGTCCCGAGTCAAATCTCATGTCACATAGATTGCTTCCAAGTCAAGTGGCAAGTCATTGACACCAAGTCCCGAGTCAAATCTCATGTCACATAGATTGCTTCCAAGTCGAGTGGCAAGTCATTGACACAAAGTCCCGAGTCAAATCTCATGTCACAGATTGCTTCCAAGTCGAGTGGCAAGTCATTGACACAAAGTCCCGAGTCAAATCTCATGTCACATAGATTGCTTTCAAGTCGAGTCCCAAGTCAAGACACTTCTTGTTTCTAGTTATTTTCAATTTGTGCATGGAACAATTCTTATGGATCAATCAAAAGTTGCGAAAATTCAAAATCGGAAATGGCAGTGTGAAAAACTCACAATATAAAAAAAGCGAACGAAGTCGAATGTGACAGCTTGATGAACCGAAACCGAATTTGTCTTGTTCTGTTTAATACGAGGACGGTTTAAATTATGAGGATCAATAAACTTCACCAAGGAGACCTCATCACGTGAGGCTAGGATGAATTTCATCAGATTTAAAGATAATCCCTACCAACTGAATCTTTACTGACAGCAGTGAGAAGATGTAAAAACACAATGGCGGGGACATGTAACTATATCTTCTTCTTCTTCTGCCTTTCTATCCCCCAATGGAGCATAGGTCCTCAACCAACTCACGCCAAGTCGTTTTTATCCTTAGCCATTACATGGAGCTCTCCAAATGTCCTCCCAATCTTTCTAACCTCATTCTCCAGCTTTCTTCTCCATGTGTTTTTTGGCCTTCCTTTATTCCTATGCCCCTGTGGGTTCCAATGCAAAGACATTCTAGTTATGCTGTTCTCCTGTTTTCTCAGTGTGTGCCCTATCCAACGCCAGCGTCTTTTCCTCACCTCCTGATCCACTGGAGCCTGTTTAGTTCTCTCCCAAAGTTCTACATTAGTTATTCTATCATACCATTTTATTCCTTCTATTCTGTGCAGGCACCAGTTAATGAATGTCTGTAATTTATTAGTAATTGCCTTGGTTGTTCTCCATGTTTCCGCCCCATACAATAGTACTGATTTGACATTAGAATTAAAAATTTTTAGTTTAGTATTTCTTTAAATTTCTTTTGACCTCCACAAATTCCCTAGTGCTATGAAAGCCCCTCTTGCCTTTTGTATTCTTATTTTAATATCTCTATCAGTTCCTCCATCTTTATCTACATTACTGCCTAAATAGGTGTACGACTCCACGTCTTGGAGTGGGGTAACTATATCTACTGGTCTCTAAAAACGACAGTGTAGGGCTCTAAAGCGGAAAGAGACAGTCTAAGAAAGAAACAGAATGTGGCTGACTGGACATCTCTCAAGCAAACATCAAGTCCGCTATATGTGGCTGATTGGACATCTCTCAAGCAAACATCAAGTCCGCTACATGTGGCTGAAAGAAAATCTCTCAAGCAAACATTAAGTCAGCTACATGTGGCTGAAAGGACATCTGTCAAGCAAACATCGTCCGCTACATGTGGCTGACTGGACATCTCCCAAGCAAACATCAAGTCCACTACATATGGCTGACTGGACATCTCTCAAGCAAACATCAAGTCCGCTACATGGGGCTGACTGGACATCTCTCAAGCAAACATCAAGTCTGCTGTATGTGGCTGACTGGACATCTCTCAAGCAAACATCAAGTCCGCTGTATGTGGCTGAAAGGACATCTCTCAAGCAAACATCAAGTCCGCTACATGTGGCTGACTGGACATCTCTCAAGCAAACATCAAGTCCGCTGTATGTGGCTGAAAGGACATCTCTCAAGCAAACATCAAGTCCGCTACATGTGGCTAACATAAAAGGTGAAAGGAACCATTCCTGCAGTCAACAACAACCAGTGACACAGTTAAGCGCCATATTATGGGACTATGATGAGCTGGGAGAAAGTATGCTAATTCAAAGCTTCTCATATCTGCATTCAGCCTGCGACAGATGTGTATGTTTTCAGAAAAATTCTCCCAAGTACAGATGTTATACACCATTTTTATGGAAACTTCAGCTCCAATTGTTTACTGGAACATAGAGAAGTCAGTGGGAATGCTCCAGTTATTCACTGGAACAAAGAGAAGTCAGCGAAAATGCTCCAATTATTTACCGGAACAAAGAAAAGTCAGTGAGAAAGCTCCAATTATTTACCGGAGCAAAGAGAAGTCAGTGAGAAGGCTCCAATTATTTACCGGAGCAAAAAGAAGTCAGTGAGAAGGGTTCCAATTATTTACCGGAACAAAGAGAAGTCAGTGAGAAGGTTCCGATTATTTACCGGAACAAAAAGAGGTCAGTGGGAAGGCTCCAATTATTTACCGGAGCAAAGAGTAGTCAGTGAGAAGGTTCCAATTATTTACCGGAGCAAAGAGTAGTCAGTGAGAAGGTTCCGATTATTTACCGGAACGAAGAGAAGTCAGTGAGAAGGTTCCAATTATTTACCGGATCAAAGACAAGTCAGTGGAAAAAATTCCAATTATTTACCGGAACAAAAAGAAGTCAGTGGGAAGGCTCCAATTATTTACCGGAACAAAGAGATGTCAGTGGGAACTCTCCAATTATTTACCGGAGCAAAGAGAAGTCAGTGAGAAGGCTCCACTTATTTACCTGAACAAAGAGAAGTCATTGAGAAGGCTCCAAATATTTACTGGAACATAGAGACTTCAGTGGGAAGGCTCCAGTTATTTACTGGAACATAGAGAATTCAGTGGGAAGGCTCCAATTAATTACCGGAGCAAAGAGAAGTCAATGGAAAGGTTCCAATTATTTACCGGAACAAAGAGAAGTCAGTGAGAAGGTTCCAATTATTTACCGGAACAAAGAGAAGTCAGTGAGAAGGCTCCATTAATTTACCGGAACAAAGAGAAGTCAGTGGGAAGGCTCCAATTATTTACCGGAACAAAGAGAAGTCAGTGAGAAGGTTCCAATTATTTACCGGAACAAAGAGAAGTCAGTGAGAAGGCTCCGTAAATTTACCGGAACAAAGAGAAGTCAGTGAGAAGGTTCCAATTATTTACCGGAACAAAGAGAAGTCAGTGAGAAGGCTCCAATTATTTACCGGAACAAAGAGACGTCAGTGGGAAGGCTCCAATTATTTACCGGAACAAAGAGAAGTCAGTGGGAAGGTTCCAATTATTTGTCGGAACAAAGAGAAGTCAGTGAGAAGGCTCCATTAATTTACCGAAACAAAGAGAAGTCAGTGAGAAGGCTCCAATTATTTACCTGAGCAAAGAGAAATCAGTAAGCAGATTCCAGATGGTACAGAGAGAAATGCTTACTGACACACACAGACAGATGGAAGCAGTGTTTTATGGACCTTGTTCCCTGCCAATTCTCCCCTACCATATGACGTCGACAGTTGAAGTTTTGCAGCCAAAGTGGGTGTGCTGCTTCATAAAACTTTTAGTCATTGCTTTCAAGTTTTGTCGCCGCTTGGAGGTGAACGGTTTGATTCCCAGCAAGGTAACTTCAGCCTTCGATTTTTATGTCGTCTAGTGTGTCCTTATATCTTTCTACTTCTTTCTGTGAGTGCCGGTCAATACATTGTCTCTTTAATAATGACTTCTCTAGTATTTGACAAACAACGATACAAATGACCTGTTTAGCCTTTGCGAAAATATTCATAAAGTTCCACTGCGATATTCTGATCTGTAACGAATTTCTTTTTTTTTTTTCAGACATATTGAAAATATGAGTATACTCATTAATCACCTTTTTTTTTTTTTTTTAACGCCTGTGAACTAAGTTACAGTTTTATAAATGAGATGATGACAGTATATCACACATCCACTACACTATTCAGAACACATTTGCCTTGACTTTGAGTGACCGACTTTCTACCCCACCAGGACATCACACAAACGATAAAAACCCGATGACACAATGTGCCACCATGCGGATGAGGATCACCGTGGAGAGGTTCCAGAAACCGCGTTCAGCCTTTAGGCCATATTTATGGCCAGGCTCTATTGCGGCACCTGGCAAAGTCAGAGTAGGGCTTCATATAACGACAAATTTCATCCTGAAAAGGATGGGAAGTAGATGTCTTGACTTTTCACACAGCTAAAAGGAGTGCAACCTGATATAATTTCGTGTCACTGAATTTACTGTAATCATGCTATTGGTATGCTTAAATCGGCGCGTGTCTTCATGTGTAGCAAATTTAAAAAAAAAAAAAAACTATAAAACTAGATGCTTGCTTACACTATAATTATTTGCCTACAAGGACATGATTATTACCAGGTTGCATGCCAAGTGTCAATGATTTACACACAACAGTTACGGAGTTACAGCCCCAGACAATTTGAACGGACTTTAAAGAGCTAATTTTCATGTGAATTAGAAATGTCCCAGTGTCTCTGTACAAGTTGTTTAACTTGTAATCATCTATACACTAACATTCAGATATTTTAATCAGGGAGAACCTACCTTTGATTGGTTGTGTGAACGTATTATAGCTTCCGCTCGAGCCGTGAATATTTCAGTGGAATATACATCACTCAGATTCCACACAGTTTGTCCGTTGTGATGAAAATCATAGCCCAGGTATTCCTGTAATGGCAGAAGATAAAACACTTTATTATGTATGTTGAGCCAATGACACGATTTCCTCTTGACAATTACTGCTCTGTAGTCAACATGAACTGACAAACATGAACACCTTTTGAACTGAGGAACTGGCCAACATACCTGCTGTGTCGTCCTATAGTATATGTGAACGTCTAACGCTTCAGATCCCAACACACCTACTGTGTCGTGGTAGAGTATATATGAACCTCTCAAAGCTTCAGATTCCAACGCACCTACTGTGTCGTGGTAGAGTATATGTGAACGTCTAACGTTTCAGATCCCAAGTGTCTGCTATGGGACTATCTTGTTGTTTAGATGGTAAACGCAGGTATAAAACTTGAAGTTACCAGAATATTTACACGCGAGCAAAGTCACTGTCATGGTGATCAGGAATTGTCAAACATGTAGCGGAAGGTTCATATAAATGACTGCCATAATTTTCTAAGAATAAATCTGTTATCAAATCCGGGATTTCTTCTTCTTCTTTCTCAACGAAAATTTAGTGACATTAATAAAGTCATTTTTGTCTGATAGGCAGCAGGTAGTCTCCCTCAGTAACCGTTATTCAAAACCCACACAGTTAAATATAGGAGTTCCTCAGGGTTCAACATTGGGTCCACTACTGTTTGCTACTTATATTAATGACCTTCCGTTACATCTCAGTATAACATGTGATCTGTTTGCTGACGACTGTACAATATATACTAGTCATGACAATTGTAATGAATTAGAACGTTCTTTACAGAAAGAAATAGATAATCTCATAAAATGGAGCAATGATAATCGCATGCAAATTAACATTAATAAAACTAAATCTATGGTGATAACAACTAGGCAAAAGCTACAAACATTAGCTGTACACAAGCCACCGCTTGAGCTCTTCATCGACAAGCTACCTATTGTTAATGTAGTTGAACATAAAACATTAGGTGTTTTAATTGTCAGCCATCTAACTTGGAGTTCCCATGTTCATGCCATGACCAAAAAAGTAGCACAAAAAGAATATCAACTTGGAAAAATTCAGCACTTTCTGGACGAAAATACACGTAAAATATTTTACGTATCCTACATTCAAACGCATATTGACTATTGTTCCACAATTTGGGATGGCTGCTCCAAATCTAATGTCAAACGGTTGAGTTCTCTACAAAATAGGGCCTTACGCCTAGTTTCCGATAGAAACTACGTCGAGAAAAATCTTTTATATGGACATCTAAGGCTTCTGCCATTTAGTAAACGTGTAAGGGGTCAGTACAGGGAAAAAATTTTTTTTTTTTTTAATTTACAATGTTAGACCAATTAATTTATAATGGTCATTTGTAGGGATGTATGTTGAATCATTTGTAGACTTAAAGTTTAAAAAAACATGGTTGCCATGGCAACAGCCGCCATCTTGATGAAAAAACAACATGTACTTAGACAGCTTAAGGGGTCACTACACAGCATTTTTTCCAATTTATGACAAAAATATCACTTTTTCAATGTGTTCATTTTTGAAATGTTCGGCATTCGTAGAATAGATTAAACACAAAATTTGTGTCATTGGTTAACAGTTTAGCATTGAAAAGTTAATACTAAAGACACCAACCCATGCCCTTTTTTAAGATAAAAAAAAGTTTAAAAGTCACTCAGCAGCAAGAGAAGAGTTCCAAAACCAATGGCGTCAGTAACTGTCTGATTGTATATCTGTCTTGCCTTTTCCTTAAATATTGAACGTCAGCCAGATTTCCTGGTAACTTCTCTCAGCGTCTTTCTCCTCTGACCGTAATGATCTATTTGTGCCTCTGCACTGTTCACTTGCTCCTAAAGGGCCCTCCTAACATCTAGCCTGTCTTACATCAATTCACCACCAAGTGATGCAGAACCGGCCAGTCTATCTGCCTGCTCGTTTCCCAACACACTGTTCTGACCTGGAGAAAACATCCAAAGGACGCTCTAACTACACGGGACCTCTAAAGCGATGGTTGCTACTCTGCACCAGTAGGCATGTCTTCACCGTTCTCAACATGCTCTGTGAGTCAGTTATAATTACGATATGTATGTACAGCTGATTTTCAGCTGCCGAAACAGAGTCAGCGGTCCAAGGGCGGATCAGTGAACAGTCACGCCCAGCTGACATCATAATATATACAAGTGAGACTGTAGTGAGAGGTCAGAAGACTGGGTGGGGTTTTATTGCAAAACGGAGAACCTCGCGTGTAGCGTCACTACACCCAGTATGAGAATGGAGGCAGAAATGGCAGCTTTCCGGTGGGAGGAGAACTGCACAGCCTGACATGTTGTGATTGTAACAGACTCACAGAGCGAGCTTCGGACACTGAAACTGGTGCCTCCTGCTCAGAGTGGCTTGCATCACTTGATAAGACCCAGATCAAGAGCATATCATGGATTTTCTGTCCAGGAGATTCACGTGTGCAAGCTAACGAGCACGCGGATGGATCAGCTGCCGCCGCGCCTCTGGGCGGTAAGCTACTATATGATAAAGCTGATGGGTTAAGGCTATATGGGATCAAATGGACGGTGCAAAAAAGCAGATAGTGAATCCATACACTGAAAGACTACTTTAAAGGGGTGTGTAGCGGTTCCGGAAGATGTTCAGCATCGAAGAGGCAACGACTGCAGCATGTCAGCTCTTTGTTTGTTACCGAAGAAGGAGACGGAGCACGTGTTGGAATATCCCGAGTGCAGTAATGTCAGTTCTTTATAAATTCATTTATTCCTTGTTTGTCTATCATTTTATGCAATAAGTGTTGTTATAAAAGTTCAAATTCTTAAGCAGTCGTCGAAAATTATGTAACGAATCAACCCATATTACATTAACCCTTTTGGAGAAAATGTTCGGTTTTCGAACAACCTGATTTCCGAATAACTTCTACGAACGAACTGAGCTCCAGAACTGAGGCTTTACTGTACAGATATCACAATGTACGTTGAACCTTGCACACGTTCCATCCATACTCGACAAGGCGCGGCGTTGGCAGCTGGCTTTGAAAATCAACACAGAAGATTGGGCAGAGATTAAATATGGCGCTGCACTCGGTGGCAGAGCGTTAGCTAAACTGATAGAGCTGGGCGAGTCGGACGAGTCGTGAATCGAAGACCAACACCCGTACAAGTTCGATTAGTACAACGATCTGGTTGATAGCCAGTCCGAGGAGTGACAAGGGGTACACAGTAAAACTCTTCGCAGTCGAGGTAAGCGTAAGCATGTGGGCTCATAAGGAAAAGAGTGTAAGCTGGCACTGAAGCAATTGCAGAAAAGCTTCGAGATGGCGGTGGATACAATGGAACGACGTGGGGGATAGATATCAGTAGTCTGCTCCGGCTCCTAGTGGACAAGAACTTGTAAGTCTCTTAAGCCAAATATTGTCCCATTAAAGTCTCTTCCGGTCAAAATGGACGCTAGGCGAACCAAAGTCTTTGGAGTCAAGGCAAATTTTTGCTTCTGTCGGACGGTGGCCGATGCAATTTTGTTCCATTTGTAGACTGGATATAGTTTCGTCGCCCAGCTTCTGAGTTGAATGCATGGTGTGACACTGTGAGCTGCGGATTTAATTTGGAATGTTTTTTTTACTGTAACCAACGTGGTGGTGTGAATTGTAGATTCAGAAAATGGCGCGATGTCTGTCGTCGCAATTTCGGTGGTGCCTGTATGTGATTAAAATTGATCAAGTGGGCAACTTAGGATCTGTTGGTAACTTCTGCTACCATCAATGATGAACTGCATTTCTAATGTTGGACTGTTTGTGTTAGCACTTCGGACGGCTACTATATGCTTTAATGCGAGTGTATGCTAGATATGCTGAGACAGCAGTCTGTCAATCTTTCCACAAGGGACTGTGATAAACATTCTGAGTGTTTTTCGTTGGCACTGGAGCGGAGCAAAGATGGGGTGACCCGTTTGCTATGAAGCTGAAACTAGGACATCCAAACTACCATTAAAGTCTGTCCGTAATACTGACAATTGCTAAAGTATGTCCAATAAAAGTATGTGTGATATACCAAACCGTCTATTAATCACTGTGGTAGTGTAGGTAGGCGGTTAATTTGCTAGCACAACATAAACGATCACCATAAACTCAGTACCTGTTGCAATTACCATAACGTCTTGCCCGCAGCAGGAGAAGAGAAGTCCGGGGATCGGCAGTGATAACCCCCCCCCCCCCCCGTCCCCACACACCTTCCCCGAGATTGTCTAGGAGGTAATCGGGCTAAAACCATTGACGAGAGGGGGGGGGGGAGACACCTAATGAAGATTGGTAGACAGGACTGTTGTGGACGCTCTGATTAGTATACAGTGACTGTATGACAGATGAAAATGAAGTATACGAAACAATTATATGGAATAATTAAGTAAGGAAAACCATCCTCAATTATCCAAGTGAAGCAATAAAACTAGTGAAATAATTATGTGAATGAAACAATTAAATTACAGAAAGCATATCAACGATATACGTGAACCAGTTTACCCCTTCTTGCGCGTAGTGATGAAAATAGTCACCAAGTCCCATATAATATCCCAGATGTGAATCAAAACCGCGGTTTTCAGGCAGGTAGTCCTTAGCGCAGAAACCCAGATGCCACTGAAATCAGAATGGAATGGTCGGCTGAATACCAGCAAATGTAGCATACCAAAAGCAGTGAAAACTACATCTAAGCTTTAAATGGTTGTTGGTTTAATATTTGTGTCAATATTTTGTTGTAGGAAAATAAAAATAAAAACACTCGACGAGCGACGTGATCGCTGCTATGCCGGCCATCATTGCTTTCCTAGAACTTGTTCTGTTCTGGTAGCATTTTCAGATTGGGTCTTTGAGAGAGCCTGGGTCAGTTTTTTTAAAAACCAGCATTGATTGTGCATCCATGCACTTGACCACTGATTGTGCATCCATGCACTTGAACACTGATTGTGCATCCATGCACTTGACCACATGGCGGATAGGCACCGGTGCTAGAAACTGCATCACGGCGACTTCTGTATGAGCAATACATATATTAACAATAACTGCATTTGATTACAAGTTTTACTATACGTAATATTTATGAATATATTAAACGGTCGTACTATTTATAAGTTTTTCTATGTCTTTCCGTCTTGCAGTCTTATCCGTGCGATTATATACACATATCATACAGATCGACATCTGCTGTTAATGAGGGGTCACTTTTTTAAATATTTTTTTTAAATCCCTAAATGACTTCTGAACAAAAGTGAGACAGCTTTCACAACGCAGAACATAACTATTCTCCGGAATTTCTCACCAACTTGCGCCCACGGCGAGAGTTCCTTACCTCCCATTCATGCCACGACGGGTCGCACGCCCTGTCTAATGTTGTGGGGGTGCCATGAGATGGTTCGCTCGGCCTCGTTCGCCGTATATAATGATTGTGAGAGGTTGTGTTGTCGTGAGTCACTCTGAGGCGCCGCGGGCGCCTGTGTACAGTATGAAGTACTGGAAGGGAAAGCGCCCTAATCGTGACTTATCGTGAGTATCGAAACTGGAAAGTTTTTGTATTTCTACGTACCTTAGTGGTGCAACCCCCCCCCCCCCCCCCCACCCCAGAAAAAGAAGCCATTGACATGAAAGGTAGAAATACAAAAACATTCCAGGTTCGATACTCAATATCCGTCGGGCAAGTAGCACATCGTGGAAACTATCATGCAATTGAGCGGTGACGTGAGAAACCAGACAACGGTTAAACCGTTGAAAAAAAAAGTTATACATGACACCCCAGAACATAGAGAAGACCGTGCTGCTGGCCGCGGCAAGAATGGAAGGGGAATAAACTCTCGCGGTGCAGGTGAGTTCTTGATACGTACCTATTGTCCAGATGTAAACTAACAAGTTCTTCACTCGTTTAAGAATTGCTTCATTCAAGCATTGCTTGCTTCATTCAAGTAATGCTTCACTCACCCACGTTTGTTGTGCTGCGCGATAATTGGTGAGTGATAACTAGAGGCCCTGTGGTGTGTACTCACTGTGCCAATGATGTGTGTGTGTGTGTGATGTGTACTCACTTTGCCAACGATGTGTGTGTGTGGTGTGTACTCACTTTGCCAACGATGTGTGTGTGTGGTGTGTATTCACTTTACCAACGATGTGTGTGTTTGTGGTGTGTATTCACTTTGCCAACATTGTGTGTGTGTGGTGTGTATTCTCTTTGCCAACGATATATGTGTGGTGTGTACTCACTTTGCCAACGATGTGTGTGTGGTGTGTACTCACTTTGCCAACGATGTGTGTGTGGTGTGTACTCACTTTACCAACGATGTGTGTGTCGTGTGTACTCACTTTGCCAACGATGTGTGTGTGGTGTGTACTCACTTTGCCAACGATGTGTGTGTGGTGTGTACTCACTTTGCCAACGATGTGTGTGTGTGTGGTGTGTACTCATTTTGCCAACGATGTGTGTATGGTGTGTACTCACTTTGCCAACGATGTGTGTGTGTGGTGTGTACTCACTTTGCCAACGATGTATGTGTGGTGTGTACTCACTTTGCCAACGATGTGTGTATGGTGTGTACTCACTTTGCCAACGATGTGTGTATGGTGTGTACTCACTTTGCCAACGATGTGTGTGTGGTGTGCACTCACTTTGCCAACGATATGTGTATGTGGTGTATACTCACTTTGCAAACGATGTGTGTGTGTGGTGTGTACTCACTTTGCCAACGATGTGTGTGTGTGGTGTGTACTCACTTTGCCAACGATGTGTGTGTGTGGTGTGTACTCACTTTGCCAACGATATATGTGTGGTGTGTATTCACTTTGCCAACGATATATGTGTGGTGTGTACTCACTTTGCCAACGATATATGTGTGGTGTGTACTCACTTTGCCAACGATGTGTGTGTGGTGTGTACTCACTTTGCCAACGATGTGTGTATGGTGTTTACTCACTTTGCTAACGAGGTGTGTAGTGTGTACTCACTTTGCTAACGATGTGTGTGGTGTGTACTCACTTTGCTAACGATGTGTGTGGTGTGTACTCACTTTGCTAACGATGTGTGTGGTGTGTACTCACTTTGCCAACGATGTGTGTGTGGTGTGTACTCACTTTGCCAACGATGTGTGTGTGGTGTGTACTCACTTTGCTAACGAGGTGTGTGGTGTGTACTCACTTTGCTAACGAGGTGTGTGGTGTGTACTCACTTTGCTAACGAGGTGTGTGATGTGTACTCACTTTGCTAACGAGGTGTGTGGTGTGTACTCACTTTGCTAACGAGGTGTGTGGTGTGTACTTACTTTGCCAACGATGTGTGTGTGGTGTGTACTCACTTTGCTATCGAGGTGTGTGGTGTGTACTCACTTTGCTAACGAGGTGTGTGGTGTGTACTCACTTTGCTAACGAGGTGTGTGGTGTGTACTCACTTTGCCAACGATGTGTGTGTGTGGTGTGTACTTACTTTGCCAACGATGTGTGTGTGGTGTGTACTCACTTTGCCAATGATGTGTGTGTGTGGTGTGTACTTACTTTGCCAACGATGTGTGTGTGGTGTGTACTCACTTTGCCAACGATGTGTGTGTGCGGTGTGTACTCACTTTGCCAACGATGTGTGTGTGTGGTGTGTACTCACTTTGCCAACGATGTTTGTGTGTGGTGTGTACTCACTTTGCCAACAATATATGTGTGGCGTGTACTCACTTTGCCAACGATGTGTGTGTGTGGTATGTACTCACTTTGCCAACGATGTGTGTGTGTGGTGTGTACTCACTTTGCCAACGATGTGTGTGTGTGGTGTGTACTCACTTTGCCAACAATATATGTGTGGTGTGTACTCACTTTGCCAACGATGTGTGTGTGTGGTGTGTACTCACTTTGCCAACGATGTGTGTGTGTGGTGTGTACTCACTTTGCCAACGATATATGTGTGATGTGTACTCACTTTGCCAACGATATATGTGTGGTGTGTACTCACTTTTTCAACGATGTGTGTGTGTGGTGTGTACTCACTTTGCCAACGATATATGTGTGGTGTGTACTCACTTTGCCAACAGTGTGTGTGTGGTGTGTACTCACTTTGTCAACGATGTGTGTGTGTGGTGTGTACTTACTTTGCCAACGATGTGTGTGTGTGGTGTGTACTCACTTTGCCAACAATGTGTGTGTGGTGTGTACTTACTTTGTCAACGATGTGTGTGTGTGGTGTGTACTCACTTTGCCAACGATATATGTGTGGTGTGTACTCACTTTGTCAACGATGTGTGTGTGTGGTGTGTACTTACTTTGCCAACGATGTGTGTGGAGTAGTCGAGAGTTTTGAGACGCTGTGCTAGAGTCACTTCCGTCAGTGGAAGTCCATACGGTTGTGCACCCATGATGACATAGTGTTGAAGACCTGCAGAACAGTTCAATGAAATCCGACATTTATGAAGATTACAAAGTACAACAACTATTTTACAGTTATATACTGTGCATTTTAAACACCACTCACATTATACTCAAGCTATGTTGATGTAGCTTCTAGCCGCTTGTCTTCAGCTCGACATTCAAATGTTAGAATCAGTACCGAGTTGGCTTTTGTCTTCTTAAAAAAGAAGTCCATGGCTTTTAGGTCTACGCAGCTAAAATGGTGAAAGTAAAGGCGACCGGCGAGAGCCTGCCAGAAAGACAAGTCAAGCACCAGACAAAGAATTGTCGACGCTCCTGACATGGCAGCATCACTGCAAATGGCTCAACGCATCAGGGAGCTGGAGGATCTAGAATACTGCAACCCAAACTTACCATGTTCCCCATCAGAAAACCCAAACCGAACGCCAAAAACTGACGGCAAACGCTGCCGACACCGTCACCGCAAAAACTAATACCAGAGATGAAACCGCCGGCACCAAACCACTCGAATCCTCATAAAAAAGCAGCGCTAGACATCCAAAGTAGAAGAAACAACACCAGATCCCGCCAAAATCCGTTGCTAGCCGCTCAATGCAAAAAAAAAAAAAACTTCTTTTTCATATAACGTTGACTACTTTCAGCTAGGTCAGAAAACATTGCTGTTCTCTTCCCTGTCGGTTATATTTCTGGTGACGTTTCTGGTCCTCATCTCATCTGGTTTTGGATTGTGCTTTCAGTATTCTTCACTAGGTGTTTTGTGGTTTTCCTCTAGCTTGGCTGTTTTCGTATCTGGCTGGCCTCGTGCTTGGATTGGCTGCTCCGCCGTCAAGTCGATTTTGGGTGGGTTAGATTGGCCGTTTGGTGTGTCCAAGGAGGGGGATCTAGTTTTCCTAAAAAGGACAAACAGTTTTTTGTTTGGACAGGTACCAGGGGGTGATGGTGGTGTCTGGTGTTGTTTCGGTGGTCTTCTTGTATCCTCGTTGACGAGTGCTTCTCCTGCAAAGGGTTTAAGTGGTTTTTGTGCTGGCGTTGTGGTCTCTGGTATTAGTTTTTGTGGTGACTGTGTCGGCCTCGTTTGGCGTCAGGTTTTGTAAAAAAAAAAAAAAAAAAAGTCCTCCTTCTTGGACAGGCCAATCAAAACCACCCGAAACTGCAATGTCAGTGGAGCAGCCAACCTAACGACCCGGAGCTCAGCGCAAGGCCAGCCAAGATACGAAAACAGCGAATCGACAAGAAACCACATCTCCTACGAAATACGCCTGGCCAAATCTGAGAGAGACAAAACCAAGAGGAAACACCAAGTAAGAAGAGGAAAGACATGCACAGCTAACAACTTGGTGGAGGACGAGCGGTCTGAATCGGATGGAAGCATCAAGCCCAGAGACGGCGCAAATACTAGAATTTAGTCACGAAAGTGACGCAAATAACCCAGACCATAAATATAGGCGGAGACTGTTAGCAGTCTGAAAGTGGTCGATCTTTTAATTTTTTTCCTTAAAGGAATCGGAATCGGAAGAAACTACAACAAACACGGAGCGACAAAATCCTGACAGCACAATTCCAAACTAGATGAGATGAAGACAAGAAACGTCACCACCAATATAGCGGACAGGGCAGAGAGCAGCAATGTCTTCTGTCCCTTAGCTAAAAATTGTCACAGTTAAATGATTGATTGATTGACTGACAGTTTGCATACAAATGTCGGATCTGTCAAATGCATACGTGTGCAACATCCAGGTTCTGGAACAGGACAGCAGTCCAGACGTGGACAAACGGACGAACAAACAAAACTTACTGTCGGAGTTGAAAGCAGGTGAACGCAAAGAAGAAGAAGATTAGGAATCAGAAGATGAAATGGTTTGGTCATCTAGTAAGAACGCACTCAGAACCACTACCAACGTAAGCGCTTAAACACGAAAAGATCTGATGTGGAAGCAAGAGGTCGCACTAGGACCATGGACTGATGACATTAAAGAGCTTCTACATCGACCCAGAATAACATTAGCCATCGCTGCCTATCCAGCAAATGATCAAAATAATTACGACCGCAATGTAAACATAAATGTTATTATGCTCAGGTTGGGACTTTAGACTAATAATTCGATACTTCTTCTTCCTCTTACTTTTACTTTTATTACTCTCAATATCGCCCTCCTCCCTCTTTTGTCTGTCTTTCTGTCTTTCCTCCTACCTTCTTCATCTTCATCTTCTTCTTCTTCTTCTTCTTCTTCTTCTTCTTCTTCTTCTTCTTCTTCTTCTTCTTCTTCTTCTTCTTCTTCTTCTTCTTCTTCTTCTTCTTCTTCTTCTTCTTCTTCTTCTTCTTCTTCTTCTTCTTCGTTTTCGTCTTCTTCTTCTTCTTTTCGTTTTCGTCTTCTTTTCTTTCTTCTTCTTCTTCTTCTTTCTTCTTCTTCTTCTTCTTCTTCGTTTTCGTCTTCTTTTCGTCTTCTTTTCTTCTTTTTCTTCTGCTTCGTTTTCGTCTTCTTTTCGTCTTCTTTTCTTCTTTTTCTTCTGCTTCGTTTTCGTCTTCTTTTCTTCTTCTTCTTCTTCTTCTTCTTCTTCTTCTTCTTCTTCTTCTTCTTCTTCTTCTTCTTCTTCGTTCTTCGTTTTTCTTCTTTTCTTTTTTTCTTGCTTCTGCTCTTCTTGCTGGCTTCTTTCTTCTTCTTCTTCTTCTTCTTCCTTCTTCTTCTTCTTCTTCTTCTTCTTCTTCTTCTTCTTTCTTCTTCTTCTTCTTCTCTTCTTCTTCTTCTTCTTCTTCTTCTTCTTCTTCTTCTTCTTCTTCTTCTTCTTCTTCTTCTTCTTCTTCTTCTTCTTCTTCTTCTTCTTCTTCTTCTTCTTCTTCTTCTTCTTCTTCTTCTTCTTCTTCTTCTTCTTCTTCTTATTCGTCACCATTTATCTTTCACAACGAACTGTCGCATCTGTACGACATCTTCACCGGAGACAATATTTAGCACACAAATGGCAAATACCTTGTTGAAATTCAAGTTACCTGTGTGTATGGGGTATTTTCCTGTTAACAGAGATCCGCGAGTTGGGGTGCACATTGGTTGAACATAATAGTTGTCCAGTATCACGCCTTGCTGAGCTAGCCTGTCAATGTTGGGTGTCTTAATGTCCGAGCCGTGAAAGCCCACATCGTACCATCCCTGTTGGTTGTAGTCAATAAGTCAGTGAAGCCGACACTCAGTGAAGATGTATTTACACCAGGTGCTATTAAACGGTGAACTCTATTAAACTATGACATTTCGGTTACTTCTCTACCAGTCTTTTATCATCATCATTATCATCCTCATCATTATCAAGTGACAGATTGGCAGTATTGTAAGTACGACAACTTGTGTCTTCAGTCTTGCTTATATATTCAACCAAACTCTAACTTGACCGCGGTCAAATAATGCTGCCTGTCTCAGTAAACAAGTTTACGGACAAAATTATTCTTGTCAGTTGACTAGAGTATTAGCTCACACCTGTTTAACTGCTTTATGTGTATGTGAGTGCACTTGCACCAGAAACTAATAAAACTATTTCATATTTCATATGACAAGATTGATTCAGTGGGCGATAGTTCTAGGTGATGCTCGTTAAAGAGGAAAATAAATGCAGACTTTCGAACTACTAATATAATCGTTTCCATATTTCTATCATCTGGATTATTTCACTGCGGGACCGTCCCATTTTGTTTTTATTTAACCCACGAGGCAGACTAAGAGCCTGCTAAGAAATTATTGTTGCGGTTCCAGCGTATGATTAATTTGATTTGGTGTCATCAAATGTGGTGTTGTTTCAACAGTGGAGGTTTGACTGCACTGGACACATGCATCCTCTACTGTCTTTGGGAATAACGAGTCTCTCCCACAGCCCAGCTCTCGTACCACTGTCCGACAACTGCGAGAGACGCTTTCATCAAGAATTTAAGCTACACAGATTTAGCAGTCAAAAAGCTTTCAATACATTTAATCACGGATGTCTAAGGCGTTTCCAGCACTCTACTATATTGACGGGAGTCGCCGTGGCCAGCGGCTATGCGGATCGGAGGGTTTTGGGCTCGCTCCCTGATGGAGCCAGATTTTTTTGTTTGTTTTGTAAATGACTTCAATTTCCAGGTCGACAGAGCCTTGAGTAGGTACCGGGTGCAGTCCCGTGAAGTAAAGGCAGCCGTCGTGATGCTGACCACATCACCCATCTTGTGCCGATTGGTATATAAAAATATAGGTCTAGCCCTATATGCCCTATACGCCTAAAGGCGTGGGAAAATTGACCTCTTCTTACTGTGGTGACAGTAATATCTACAGCTGGAAACGGGACATGCCACTAATATTGTGTGCTGAAAATGAGTCATCGTAAGCATGTCAGCTTCCATCCCCACACCCAGTCACCGAGGTCAGGGGGTTCATTACTGGATTCCATCCCCACACCCAGTCATCGAGGTCAGGGGGTTCATTGCTCGCTTCCATCCCCACACCCAGTCACCGAGGTCAGGGGGTTCATTACTCGCTTCCATCCCCACACCCAGTCATCGAGGTCAGCGGATTCATTACTGGCTTCCATTCCCACACCCAGTCATCGAGGTCAGGGGGCTAATTACTCGCTCTACGTTAAACACGCTAATTCACATAAATAAACAGAGGGGGAAACTTTGATGCCCTAAAAATAGTATATATTTATATACATAAATATATCAACCAACAGACAATGTATTGATTGGTACTCATAGAGAGAAGTAGAAAGATAGAAGAACACACTTGACATAATTACCGTGGCAGGACATTTTAGCTTTTGATTTGTATGTTGTTTAGTGTGTCCTTCTATCTTTCTACTTCTTTCTATGAGTGCCAATCAATACATTGTCTGTTTGTTTTTATTTGAATGACATATTAAAAACTCGAACTATTGCCGCCAAATATCAACTAAACGAAACAATTTGTTATTTAACTGTAATGAAAAAACAAACATGCTACAGTGAAAATACTCATAAAAACATTTCAAACATTAAAAGTATTGAAAACTATAAAATCGAAAAAGGTTTACTGATTTAATGACAAGTGATTGCTCTGTTATCCAGCTTTTCTCTAGATTTTTATAACCCCCCCCCCCCCCTTTTTTTACCTTCCCCCTGCCGAGTACCAAGGAAACAGCAAGGGTACATGTTAAACAAACAAACAAACAAACCAAAAACGGTATTGTACCAGTGCACAAGGGACACCGGTTACCCTTTTCTTCTATAACAGGGGTTCTCAAACTGGGTGCCACGAGCGTATGCCAGGGGTGCCGCGGCTAATATCAAGAATAGTCGGCTAAAAATTGTGACATTATTAAAGAAGGCATGAAGATATTTAAAAGTTGCAATTAAAGTTGTCTTTCCTCCTGAAAAGAGTTGTTTGCTTGTCTGACGCTTAACGTGTATCATACTGCATAAAATGCCAATCGCAACGTAGTAAGAACTGTCCTTGTATTTATCTTGGGGTGCGACCGATCCTCTATCTGTATTCGGAAAGGTGCAGTGGATAAGTAAAGTTGTGATTACATTTTGGCTGAAATTTTAAGGTGGAAAAAGTGGTCTGTACAATAGTAACCGTTAGCCTCGTCAAGTAAGCACTAATATTTACAGGCATGGCGTTTTGTTGTTGTTGTTGCGTGTGTGTGTGTGTGTGTGTGGTGTGTGTGTGTGAGTGAGAGAGAGAGAGAGAGAGAGAGAGAGAGAGAGAGAGAGAGAGAGAGAGAGAGAGAGAGAGAGAGATCATTCATTTTTTCGTTCTTTCAGGGTATCTTTGCCCAAATCAAAATTGAAGATATTGCTAACGAGAATATGAAGGTGTGTTTAAATTATATCGAACGAACTGCTGAGCGAACGATGATTGAAATGCGAATTCGGCTGCATTCGTTCCTGTGTGGCTTTGTTTCGGTTGAGAACGAACAGTGACCGGGCCGGCAAAACGTAAACTGACCTTAAAGTGTTCCTAACAGCTGCTTGGTTCTGTCCAAGTTAAGGAGTCAGCTGGAATGCAGTGATTTAGTACATGAAGTTTAAGAAATATTTGAACGCCGCGCTATATCTTTTTAGGGAGGGTCATCCATGATGGAGAGAATTTTTTAAAAATAATAATGAAAAGGATGTAAGGACAAATTCCTTCAAACACTTTCATTAATCGCATTAAAGACAACTGAACATTAAAATCTGAAACATGTTTTAATTCTTCCCCCCTAAGTATTCCAGCGCTTTGAGTATAGGTGTGCCGCGAACTTTTTTTTTTCCAGCCCAACAAGGGTGCCGAGGTGAAAATAGTTTGAGAACCCCTGTTCTATAAAGTAGCGTTAAATGGTTGAAAGGGTTCGGTTTTCTTGTATGTTTATTGTCCAGAATTCAAACTCATTATAACTGGCGCAATTGATAATGAAAAATATAAAAGAAAATCTCGAGCAAGAATAAAACAGCCGACAAAGTTTAGGTAACAACAGATGGCTGGAAAATATGGCGCCAACACATATTTTCTTTCTGCGGAGAGTCGCCACTTGAGTGTCCTTGAACTGAAACCTACATCAGAAGCCATGACTGTGAAGCGTGCCTGGATATAATCACCACAGCAGGTGAAACCAGGTCAGGGCAGTCCCTTGGTAGTTGTCATCTTGGGGTCAAGTGACGATAGTCATTTTCAGATTTCAGGTCACAGGTTTATCAAGTTGATTGTCCAGTCTCCATCTGCCATACCACTCAAGTGTCCAACTGATGAGGTCAGGTGTAGCACACAGGTTTTTATTGACAGGCACGTAGACTCTTCCCTTCCTGGCGACGGACTGTTGGGTAACCGAGACTCCTGTGCTACTCCACAAGCCAGACACACGTAGCCGGTATATCTGCTATTTACAAACACCTACACCAGATAACGGGCTGAAAACAATCCGCCCCAATTTGAGATGCAATTTTTTCGTTTTTTTTTTTAAAGTTCAGGCCCTGTTGTCGTGTGAGGGGGGGGGGGGGGGGGGACCTCAATATAATCGAACGGTTGAAGGGGGTTTTGGGTCTTGCACCTGTGCGATTCTTATCCGAATAGTGGCACTTTGTGTCATCGGTTGTTTATCGCTGGTCGTGCGGGCCTGATGGGGTTGAACGTCTGTCAGTCTGTCTGCTAGAGAGCTGAGAGCTGGTAGATTACTGCAGCTCTGCACACCAACACTAAGTAAAACATTGGGTATAATAAATGAAAACTGAAATTATGTAATTATTATAGCTGTCCAGTCAAACCAGTTTATAGTAATTAACATTCATGCTTGTTGACATCAGAGAGCTAATAAGCTGCTTCAGACAGACAAGACAAATCCTAGCAATCATCTATAATGAGCTGCTTCAGACAGACAAGACAAATCCTAACAATCATCTATAATAAGCTGCTTCAGACAGACAAGACAAATCATAACAATCATCCATAATAAGCGGATTAAGACAGACAAGACAAATCCTAACAATCATCTATAATGAGCTGCTTCAGACAGACAAGACAAATCATAACAATCATCTATAATGAGCTTTTTCAGACAGACAAGGCAAATCCTAACAATCATCCATAATAAGCGGATTAAGACAGACAAGACAAATCCTAACAATCATCCATAATAGGCTGCTTCAGACAGACAAGACAAATCCTAACAATCATCTATAATTAGCTGCTTTAGACAGACAAGACAAATCATAACAATCATCCATAATAAGCTGCTTCAGACAGACAAGACAAATCCTAACAATCATCTATAATGAGCTGCTTAAGACAGACAAGGCAAATCATAACAATCATCTATAATGAGCTGCTTCAGACAGACAAGACAAATCCTAACAATCATCTATAATGAGCTGCTTAAGACAGACAAGGCAAATCATAACAATCATCTATAATGAGCTGCTTAAGACAGACAAGACAAATCATAACAATCATCTATAATAAGCTGTTTCAGACAGACAAGACAAATCCTAACAATTATCCATACTAAGCTGCTTCAGACAGACAAGACAAATCCTAACAATCATCTATAATGAGCTGCTTCCGACAATAAGTCAAATCCTTTCAATCATCTATAATGAGCTACTTCAGACAGACAAGACAAATCCTAACAATCTTCTATAATGGGCTGCTTCAGACAGACAAGACAAATCCTA